ACATACGTGTAGTACGTTTCTGATACATTTTTAACATAAAGTTTCTGATTATATTGACGGCACTTTGCACATAAAGACCCTAGATCACGCGATTCGAAAATTGGCGATTTTATAAGTACAATATGCAATTCCTTTATTTTTCTAGAGAAATGTAAGAAAATATGCCAAATTTGCAAAGATATTACATCAATTCTGTTTCCGTCTATAAGATGAACAATGTATTTATTCGTCATCATTGTATCATATAATATATTTGATTCATTCAACGCGTAGAATAATGTTAGCGGATTGGATACAGCATCAGAATATACATATTGCTGGAATGTCCAGACAAGAGTTGAATTAGGATCATCTAACATCTTACGAAGAGTATATGGATTTTTACTGAGTACATAGCTATTAATAAATGTAACATTGTCATGAAAATCTTTATAATGAGGAAAGTCGCAGAATTTCCTATTTTGATTAATGCTAGTCTCTATTATGTCGCTGGTCATATTGCCTATATTCATGTTCAGTAATACCAACAGCTCACCGCACTCCTTCCCATGTCCTTCGCATACACTACATTCTATTTGGTGATCATTACAAAAATTGGCTGAATAGCAAGTGTTGCAAGGACTTATGTTTATCTGTCTGTAACATACATAACACGTCTTTGCAAATAATATCATCTCCTTTTCGTATTGGTATACGTAACGTGACAAACTAGGCTGTATTCGTTGTAAAATATCGTCCCGCGATGCCATCCAATGTTCCAAGCTAGGATACGTATCCGAAAAAGATTTTTCTGTTATTATCTTTGCCACAGCTATGCAGAATTCCGAGTGTAAGATTCTGTGTATCTCCTTATGCTCCTCTGAACAGTAAGAAATCAAATTGCAGAGATTACACGTTAGCAAGTCTCCGCTGGGACGTTTGCAAATATGACAAACGTTTGGATTGAAAAACTGGTTGTATTTGTCTTGTGTGTATGGTCCACAAAAAATCATTACTTTTCCGTCGTTCATCGTTATAAGTATTATTAATTATTATTTATATGAATACTGTTTGTGATATTTACTTCAGAGTAATGCGCGAAACTGGACAACTCAGCTAGTGTCAGAAATATTTATATGGATTAGATATAGACATTTAAACAATAATAGTACACGGAACATTATAACGGATACAATACGTTTATATCGAAAAAGTTGTTGACAATACATTGTAAATATTCGTATGACACGAAATAGTGATATTCGTTAGTGTAGGGAAACAATATGATATATTTCTTATGAAAATCTTGTTGAAAGATTGAAAATATACTACAAAATTTATCAAGAAAGATATTAATAAATTTGTGATAATTTCCAGCAGAAATTAATATTATTATATAAACTAGTAATATTTTTGTAATATTTTTTAATGATCATTTTAAATGAAATAATCCATTAAATAAAAATTTCTTTTTATCCGAAACCTTCAGTTTTCTATTGTTTTGTCAACGGTAGGGATTACTTAACGTTGAAAATGAAGCGACAGACGGTTATCTAAATGGATCTAATTATGTATTTTTAAGACTTGCATAGTGTATCGTAACATAGTATATTATATGTTACAGAATATTGTAACGTAATATATTTATTCACAAACATTGAAATGGTGGATCAACATCAGATATGCGACAAATATTGATATAATAAATATTAATGCATCAGTGATTACACCACTGCTTCTCAACTTTTAACGAAATATTATTATGATTAATCTGAACAAGAAACGATTTAAAACAACTTACTCAATAATCAAAACTTCAAAAAGATTTTGAAATATTATTTTAAATATTAACCTGTTTTATCCTGTTTTAAATATTAATGCTTTTTTATCGAAAAACATGGATACATTTTAACGGCATAACAGAGTTTTATTTAAATAAGTGATTAAGATATACAAATATAATATTTAATAAAAGGCACACACAAACCAAAGTCAATTGAGGAATATTAACTACTGTATAATCGTATATATTCATATATAAATTAGATACATTTATATATAATTATTTTGAATAACCGATTATATATATAATTATACATAAGCAGCATTAGGCAGCCTCATACAAAATTATGAACAAAGTCGTGTAAAAATATGTAGAATTAATGTAACTAATTATACATAATTTAATGTGCTGCCATTTGATTTTATATAGTTATATATGATTGTATATAAAAAACTTTTTACGAGTAAAAATTTCGATTTGGACAACATTAACGATATGCTAAAAGCGGACATCATTTGGTAATCAACCATTTTTAAAGGACTACGGTCCACGTTATTTAATTGCGATAATCACAGAGAAATTTGTGATGCCAATTAGCTATATTTAGTTGATAGAGAAACGGAGAACAAATACTTGAAAATATATTTATGAGACACAAAATTATATTTCTGTGAAATAAAATTTATTTCTATATGCGTATACTATAGAATATATTTTTCTTCCTACAAATATTGAAGTATATATTTTTTTCAGTATGGCTAGTTGTATTATTATGCTCATAAAGCATTTTTATAATGTGCCTAGTAAAATGTTTTATGCTATACTTACTGTTACTCGTGAAAACTGATGCAAGAGTAGGCGACATATAACAGATAACTTTATAGAATCATATATACACTTTGTTTGAAGAAATTATAAACTATTTTCCTTCGATACATTTTACTCTATAGTCAACACAACAAAAGGACTGATCTTTAAGTTATCGCATGCAGTTAAATTCTATCATTTATTCGATCATTAGCTGCATTCAGGAATGCATCGGGAAAATGCTGAAAGTATATTGAAACAAAGTGTACATATACTATATTTTTACAAAAAACATGAGGGAGAATCGTAGGATATATTTACGAATAATTGTATATGGTTAAAATCCATATTTTATTAATAATTATGATTACACGTTGTATTCATTTTACAATAATTCGGTGATAACCCTTAAGACATTATTAATTTTAAATACTTCTATGTTGCTCGACAAATTTCCATAATTTAAATTTTAAATGTCGATGTAACGAGCTACAGATTTTAGTTGTAAACTATACAATGAAGGACATAAAAATGTAATCTGCATAAAATATATCGCAATTATTTCTATCACCTATCACATGTAGATCACGGACGATTAAAAAGGGACTTACAAAACAGTCACATATAGCTGGGTACAGAATTGCGGAATATATCTATAACTAGTGAGTAGCATGCGAATATTATGCGAAATATAAAATTTAAGATACGATGTGCAATCATTTTATTACCTCACGTAAATATGTTTTACAAATTTCAGGAATGTAAGAAAAAATACTATTAATTTACGACTAAATATATAGCTTAGGAAGATATGTATTATTTATCTGAATATCGTTAAGAATAGACAGGTGCGTCCACAAAATTACTATACTAAAATGAACAATACTATACTGTACTATACTACACAAAAATACTATACAATATACTATACTAAATTAA